AGTCAACACACTCCAACGTGAAGGGCCTCTTGTCTCAGCAGAGATGAAATGTGACTCAGCTCAAAGTATTCAAAATGTATCTGARCATCGGTACTTTCCATATTAATTATTACTGTGAGCTCATTAGTTTTGTATTTTCAGAGTGGGCGTGCTCATCTAGACCGTAGAACATTTCCTTGTTACTGTTTTTATAAATCAAAATAGGTGAAATAAATGTTCTATTTAAATTTTGTCCTAAAATAATAAACAGATTATTTGACTTCTTTGGGTTAACATATTAACATTGATTCTTATTRTAAAATTTAAAGTAAAAACTGACAATCCTTTAATTTATTATTCATTTTTTATTCATGGGGTTAGTACTGAGCTATGAAAACAGCATAAATCTTTAGATAAATGTGACTCATTTGTTTTCACATTCAATTGGGGGGGGGGGGGTTTAGCAAAATCAACATTTATGAGCTTTATGTCATCTAATATACTCCCTTATCAAAAACAGAGTGTCGCTTTAGCTTATTCATGCATGKTTAAGAAATCCTTGAATCTCCTACAGTAGCCATTTGGAGTTGCCTAAACGCTTGCTAGTACAAAGCCCCGCCCATTTACACAAAGCTCCTCCCCTGAGCTCGTCAGAGCACCCCTCCCCCGGTTACGAATCAAACCAAACCATACCGTAATTACTTGATTGTGGTATAGAATTGAACTATGTGGCTGGAAAATACACAACAGCCCCGCTTTAAATGTAAATAGTGATTACAATAAAAATGGTTCTTTAATTTGAACTAAGAGTAACAAAAGGGCTCAATCAGGTCTTAAAGAAATATAAATTAGAACCAAAAATCTGAATGTATGTTTGAATATAAGAGGCTAACATTATTTGAAGGAATGCTCATTATCCACCATCTTTAGTGCCAAATATTTAAAGAAAAATCCAGATCAGTGCTCAGAATGTGTTGTGAAAGACTCTCAGCTACTACCACACCATGATTTGGCTCGATATGTTCCACTGACTTAGTTACAGACATCGCTCCTATTCAAGATTACTTAATCAAACAATACAAACATTTTAATCCTCCATCACTTTTAGAATTAAGAACACAGCCGAGATCTTTCAGAAATCTATTTTTGCTTTTTAGGAAACATTTAGATCTGTTTGACTTTCCTGTGTTGAGGGCCATCTAGAATATAAATATCAGCTGCAGCCAAAAGGAAAAYTGTGTTTTAACCTTAGATAAGCAAAATATCTCTWGAMCCACTGGATGGATTTTAACMAAACTTACAAAAACTAGATTCTCAATTATTAGATTATTTGCTGAAAAGCTACATGAATATTCAAGACCTAATTTAGAAAGTTTGTGTTTTTACTCRACCTCACTGCAGGTTTTAAGTAAAGGCAAATCTTCCTTTGAATTCTGTTTGAGTGGAGCGCTCGGCTCTTTGGGGACTGAACCGAGGTCCAGTAGGCGGCGTGCTCGGAGCAAGCAGCTCAGCTGTGGCCTCCTCCCTCCTTCCCTCCCTCTGGAAGTCTCTCCCTCCACTCCTTCCTCCYCTCCTCACAGTATATCAAGTGCATCATCCTCTCACACCTCGCGTTGCCCTCGAGAACAGCGCCTCTCTTCGCACGCGCGCGCAGACACTCAGAGTGACGTGCACGGCGCCACTTCGTAAGTGAGACAAGGAACCCGCGACACCAAAGGGTCCGGCTTCTGTCACCCTGTTACCTCGCTAGGACCACATGGCCCTGGGTGCAGAGAGGAGGAGGAGGAGGAGGAGGAGTGGGAACAGAGTGCTCAGGAGCTAAAGGGAAATGTGATAAAGATGCAGAATATGAAGAGATGAAAGTGGAAGAGAGACAGATGGGGCCAGAAAGAAGAGATAAAAAGGCAGAGGGAGATTGAGAGGTTTAAAAAAAATGACATAAAAAAGTGAGCGAGCAGTAGCGCCAGCAGAGAGGGACTGTTGTTTTCTGTTCTTGTTGTTGGTTGGCCCGCCACCAGTTAGCATGAGGCAGATGCAACCGGGAGCACTCAGTAATTATTGCGGTGAACCTCCCTCAGAGCACATGTGCTTTCTGCTTGTTAGTCTGCACAAAGATTCAACGCAGCCAGACTGTAGAAACAGACAAAAACAGGACAAGAGAAAACTCGCCTGTTTGCCGAAACTCCTCTGAGACTTTCTTCAAAGCAAAGAAACRCATTTCAGATGAAAACTTTCCACCGTCCCTTTACCGCTACGTGATCAGGATCTGTCAGGGCTGCTGCGTGCACCATTGTCTCTTATCGTGTAAAGTTCAGCGGCTCTCCTGCTCCTCTTCAACAGGTGTTTGCAGATCTCACTGTCGCAGMGTCACATCCTGCAAACTTCTGATAAGCCTCTGCACTGACAACTCACTCAGCCCCTGACTGGAACCGTGTATACCTGAAAATCAAACGTGCCAGCCAGAAGAGAGACGTATTCCCTGCCAACTGGCAGAGATAAGTTATCTGCATCAGCAGTGGCTCTCCGCACTTTGAACGTTGTATTAAGATTCATTTGGACCCACTTTACATAAACCATATCGGTCAAACCTCTCTTAATCCACCCAAAACCTGAAAATTTACACTAAAAACTTGGTGTATTTCTCGCCGGGGCATAATCAGAATAAATTAAAGATTAAATGTTTCTTCAAAGAATGCATATCTGCTTTTCATGCCAGAGTTTTAAACTAAAATCTTCTGATGATGGGAAGGGACCTTGTAAAGCACATGTCAAACCAAAGGCATGGGGGCCACATATGGCCCGTTGGAGACTTCCGTGTGGCCCGCCAATGAGCCGGCCACGTGCTTTTTTTTCTTTATAAATTGTAAACTTCAGATTTGTGATTCAGTGCAACAAAATAAACTCTATATACTATAGAAAAAAATACAAATCACAAATAAATGAAAGGCAGCAGAAAAAAAATCTCATTTCCCCCCCCAAGAATAAATTAAAAAAACTAAACTAAAAAAACAAAAACATCAAATCCTTCTTGAACAACAATTAGTATAGATGCACATTACTTTCATATTTCTTCAACAAACCAACTTTTATCATTCACATAWTTTAGTTGAATATCCCCCTATTAATATCTCAAAATAAGCATTGACCATAAACTACATCTCCCATAATGCATGTTGATTATACATGGGAATTCCCTGTAGGAAAGTGGGAGAGTTCAGAATTCAAACAGCAGCTACTCAWAAGTTAGTAAAACTCTCTTACTTTTACTTTTAATAGTWTTTCTATTATTTATTTCACGTTTAGTCAGTCATACTTGTAGCACTTTTCAGTGTTTATAAGARGTGTTAAAATGCTGTTTCTATGCAGGAAATACCAGGYAGAGCCCAGTTATTGTTTAACGGAGCTCAGCCTTTGCAATGAGACGAGGAATGTGATGTTTTGGGTTTAGTTGAAGTTAAACAAAACATTGAAGTAAATTACAACTGGCCCTTTGAAGGTGTGTTGAAGATGACGCTCAGCTACTCCAAAAAAAAAAGTTGACTGAAATGAGTAATGCCAACATTTTACACACCAATGTTATGCAATCAGTTAGCGCTCAGAGTATGAGTTGGGGACAACTCTCAGCCACTACCACACCAAATTTAAGCTCAACATCTGTGCAATCAAATGAGTTGGAGCCATTTTTGCGTTTAGGATCAGGTAGCTGTAGTGGCCATCTTAAATGAGTCCAAAACATCCAGTTGTTTGAACAAATGTCTCCCATTAAAAACAGACTAATCTCTAACTTAGTCTGTACAATGTTTGCATTGAAGTAAGACGAACAGCACATGATCCTGACATAAGTTCTGAAGCATTTTTAGATGGTAGGAATGCAATTTGTTTTGGTCAGAACATGTGCTGCTGGAGGTTTTTCATCACATGCCACTGCTACTGTTCTGCTCACAACCCCCACTGATCAAATAACAGCACCATGCCCCTCCAATAAATGACTAATACTGGAAAGTAAAATAAAATACAGCTGGACGGTGACACATGTCATCCAACAAAGTTCGATCTGCCACCTAACAGTTTGAGAATGTCTTTCCGTTCAGTCRGATCGGGGCACTCAGACAATAAAAAGCTCCAACGGCGTGTAGATAAAAGAACGCCTGCAGGTCAGTCTGCAAAGAGTTTTATTTTTGTTCACTCTGAAAATTTTCTTTTTAAGCTTTTTATTAGCTTTAAAGTAAGCCATTCAGTCTCTTGCTGCTTTTGATCGGCTGCGTGAGCAAATTCTGAGAATCAAACTTATTCGAGTGAAAAGTGATGCTTCTSAAGAGATGCAGGGATTGAAAAACTTTGTTTTTTACTGTACCGACTCACATCTGTGGACCTGGTCCAGGGTGTACCCCGCCCCTCCCACAGTGACTGCTGGACATGCTTTACCATTAACTGTTGGAGTCAACTGTTTTGGTCTGTTAGCAAAATATCTTATGAACAGAGGATGAATTTTTGGATGTACATTTATAACTAAATAATTTTTGGACTCAACCCAGTTCTGGCTTGTAGACTGAGGTTTTGGTCAATTTGAGCTATTTGGGTCAGCTGCCTTAACATCGTCATACCTACATTTATCAATAAAACCTCAGGTGGATACGGTCTTCAGTCTCAGGAGTTCTTTTTTATCAGTGCCAAAGGTCTGGACAAAATTTAGAAAAAAGGCAACTAATGTCTTAAAATATCTGCAAAATATTGATTCTATACATTGTATACGTGTGTACGCTTTGCCTGTTATGAGTTTTTTAATGGCTAAATAAAGTTTAAATACAACCAATTAAAAAATCAAGAGGGCAGCAACAGCAAACATTAGGGAWTGAAAAAAATTGCTCACAATTACATTCAAATAGGCCAAGTACTATGCATTGCACAACATTCTCTTTTAAATGTATGCAATAACCAGTAAAACCAACATTGCCAGCAAAATAACACATCTCATGATAAGAGCTTAGCAAACTCAAATCTACAACTTACACATTACTGACCTGTGATGGACTTGGAACCTGTCCAGGGTGTACCCCACCCCACGCACTGTTACTGCTGGATATGTGCACCAGTGACCCACGCAACCCTAGAAAAGGAATAAGCGGGTATAGATGATGGATGGATGGATGGATTATTGACCCTATCTAGTACAAAAATGTCTGTAACTTGTTCCGTTGTTTAAATATTCAGCTAAAGTTTGGTGTSGTAGCAGATGATGGTCTATCCCAAACAACAACACTTGCAAGCTCTCATTATACTGCTTGAGCTGTCCTTAACATCCCCYTCAACACAAGATAATTATTATAAAACTCTGGCATGAAAGGGATGCTAGACTTTTTTTAATGTTAATTTTCTGAATAAGGAGATTTGAGCATGCATGTATCGAGGGGTTACAATTCTTCAGAATCTACTTGATATTTAATGTCCATGAAAGATGTTCAAAACATCTGCTCAGAGCTAATTCAGCTGATTTATGGARGAAAACGTTGCTTTACCACAATAAAAATGGGCATAATCTACCAACTTTGTCACATCTTGCTAGTTAAAAGTTAAAAGAAAGTTCAAAAACCCAAAACGTCTTAGCCATAAAGACATTATTTGTGTTCCTCTGAATTAAGGGTGAAATAGTTGGTAAAATCAGAGCTATGACTCAAACAGAAACACAAAAAGACAATTGCACATTTATTTTTGTCATATTGAGCCAAATAGGTTGAAATGTTTACCATGACTGCCGATTCATAYGAGTAAAAGCAGCTGTTTTTGCTGCTGTAATGACATCATCCCATTTATATTCCGAGAAACGTAAATTAAAGTGAAGTCTTTTAATAAGTGCCTTCATATTTTCATCCACAATGGAGGCATGTAGCTTCAGATATTTGTTTACCACAGATTGTGAGTTAATTTACCTGTGAACAATAGCCATCTGCTTCGCTTTTTTATAGCTGTCTTTTGTTAAAAGCTTGTAACAAATAAAAAAAAGCAAACACTTGAAGCGTGGGTAGATTTTTTTATGTGATGATCTTTTGTTCTCTTATTACTTTGATTAACTTTTTGCTTCAAATTAACTTTCATCTGCTTTTGTTAGATTWAAACAGAGGAAAGAGAGGAAGCTACTGTGATTTTTAAGGGGAGGGGAAAAACCTTCAAAGCAGACTGCCTTTAACTGAAAATGTAAAACACATTATTGAACAAGGATGATACAAGCTGTACATATTAATCAACACATGCTCAATAATACAATAAAAGTACCATGTGTTTCAGATTATTACAAAGACAAAATGATTGCGGAGATTAGACGTGGGAAAGACGTTGCTGTGAGTTTACATTACAACTACTTTCCAATAAACTCATACAAATCTGGACCTAAAATAAAAAAAAGTATTTACAAGTAATCAAAAAAATTAAGTAGGTCCTCTGGTAGACAAGTAGGCATCAGGACTCTGTACCACAGAGCAGACAGTGTCCCCACAAACCCAGGAGCCATGAAGAAGAAGTCACACACAAGACAGGCCCTGGAGCAGTGTGGTTATCCTGACTGGGCTTTCCTGAAAGCAGACARGAAACCCAAACAAGACTCCAGTCAACTACCAGGTGAAAATGAAGACCTCAAACCCAGACCCAAACCAGTCGTCATTCCATATGTTGAGACGTTTATTCTCTAAAAATGACGCTCCAGTGGCTTTCAAACCTCAAAACACATAACAACAAAGATTGGTTCACATCAAAAATACAGTCCCCCGGTGAAGAGTAGGGTTGGGCAATATTGGCAAAAAAATTTTTTTATCACGATTAATTGTGGTATTTAGCCAATAACGATTAATTTGACGATTAATCCCCTGGAGTCTCTAGACACCCTTATGTCCTGGTCACATGACCAATTTAGTGGGAAAGAGGAACTCGTTGTAAAAACCTGTTCCAAATTGTGTCAAAATTACAGACTTCAGGCTGTAAATCAAATTTTWAATTATGCTGATAGATAAATTAATTACAGAACCTTTTTTTATGTTTGTCATATTTGAAGTGGAGAGGAGCACTGCACTGACTCTGCCTGATGGCATTAATCGTATTAATCGTCAAGTGACAAAAAATAATCGATTAATATTTTTCTGCCGATTAATTGCACACGATACGATTATGCCCAACCCTAGCGCAGAGTAATGTGTAAGCTATTAAGTGCCCGAAGGACTGTGACCAGTTACATATCAGGGAAACAAAACAGCCACTGTCTAAAAGAATGGGCCAACACAGAAGAGCTACATCATGAGGCCAGGACTCTGCAGTTTACACTTATCTACAGGCCAGGACTCTGGAGTTTACGCTCATCTACAGGCCAGGACTCTGCAGTTTACACTCATCTACAGGCCAGTGGTCACTCTTTCTGAGAAGAAGATGTTCTCATCCTTGATAGAGAGGAACGTTGGTTTGAGAGAGGAGTAAAGGAAGCCACTTTTGTGAAGAAAAACCGTCCACCATTAAACAGAGGTGGAGGCCTTCATGTCCAGTTGTCCTCCTCCTACAATGCTGTTATTGCAAGTATGACTCAGCCCCCTGTGAGCAATAGGTGTGGATCAGGGCCCCAACAGTGATGGGGCACATGACCCTCTATGAACAATAGATCTAATCAAGGCACTAACAACCTATTGTTAGGTGATAGCCCTCTTTTGCATGTGACTAACCTGTTTGTCCACCATGYGGAGGCAGTGCTTATAAGGCTGAGTTCACCCGAAACTCCTCAGACTGAAGAACGTTTCATTAAAKAAGAACCTGTCCAGAGGACCTACTTAATTTTTTTTCCTATCTGGATTACTGAGATGCATCAGGATTTTGTACCCAGTGGTTGATGTTCCATACCAGCTGGGTACAAAAAGTTTTATGTAATGAGTGTTGGAGACTAGCTGCCAAAAGCCCTTCGTGAGGGAGTTTCTAAAACATGTCAGACGCTATGATCTAAATATTCTTGTGAGTCGCTGCAGTTTGGAGTCTTGTCACTTGAATATTGAACATGTTCAAAAAATGCTGCGACCAATTCTCACACAAAACAAGTATTTTTGACACCTGCACGGGAGCTCTCCTCTGACAGAAAACATGTCTAGTTCAAAAAAAAAAAATCAGGACAATGATTGGAAATAATTATTAAAAACTGTTTCAAATCTTCATTTTAAAGTGTAGTCCAGTAGGTTAAATCATAAACAACAGGCTGCCAAGGTATGTACAAAGAAGTTTGAGGTGGGTACGATATTGTGCACAGCAAAGAAGACAATCTTACAATCTTTAAATGAAAAATAAAATGTGATTTTAAAAATATTTTAAAGCAGGTAATAAGCATGTCAGACTACACATTTATTTTGAATAGAACTGGTTTGAATAGAATATCTGTGTCTACTGAAATAAAAATAATAATAAAACTGTGGACATAAAATGGTGCCAAATCAGGTACAAAATAAACCAAAGTGAATATGAAGTGGTTTGAGATGGGTTCAAAGTGATCCTTCACCAAAACTATGGGCGCAAAGTGGCCAAAGTTGCAATACAGGGTGAGTCAAAAATCTCAGGACACCCTTTCAAAAACGAGACAGAAAATGAAATATCTGAATATCCCAGGAAGTAATCCCAGGCAGAACATGGCTGCCACCTTGAAAGCCGCCATATTGGATCGAAGTGAAATTTTTTTTCCAATGGTAAGGGGTTCATGGAGCGTATCAAAAAAGGCCAGAATTGTCTTAAAAATGGATTGCTGCAATCAGATGTGCAATATCTCGTTTCCCACTGAATAAATTTGAGTTTGGTCCAATATGGTGGCTTTCAAGATGGCACAGCTAAAACAAAGGTTCCCAATCTTTTCAGCCATAAAATAACTAGCAGAGACCAGTGCCCCCAACAAGGGTATAKTAACAATATTCATTATGCTAATTYCATCCATTTTTAAATWCCTTAACCTCACTCTTTAGTAATAACTAAGGCAAAAACTTTGTTCACCAYTGGCCTCAAAGACAGGCCCCCTCACCTAGTACTTRCTGGTRTATTCAGATATTTAATTTTCCCTTCTGTTTCTGAAATAAAAMGTTGTCCTGATACTTTTGACTCACCCTGTAGTACAATTCAGCTGAGGGCCGGAAGTCTGGGACGTTTGTAGCTTTTTGCCAACTAAGATTTACTCTAGGTCAGCTCCAAATGTGACGCATCACAATATTCAGTAGAACTTCTCATAGCTTAGGGAATACATTCTTTTGTACAAATTTCCTCTCATCCCCCACAATTTACCCCCCACGTAAACTCTCTGGACTCTGACCTCTTGTGTGTAATCTGTGCTGTCGGACTAATACTGCAGTCTTTTTCTACTCAGGTCATCAGTAGCTTTCCATCTTGAACACATCTGCTGAGATAGTTAGTGTCCCTGCCAACCCCTCCTCCTCCTCTACACACACACACACACACACACACAAACACACACACACAACCAATAGCTCAGCGCGGGTGGTTAATGTTGAGCGCAGCAAGCCTCGTTTTACTTGAAAACAAATCACCGCAGTGTGGCTTAATAATGTAATGAGTGTTTTAAGCCGTGCAGACAAGTTGATCCGCTCCCGTACAAATACAGGAACTTACCTCATTACATCCCCTCCCTCCCTCCTCATCCTCAAAGTGTTGTTTCTCTTGTGTTATCAGTGTGGTAATTTCTAAATGGGTCAATCCAGAGAAGAGGCTCTGTAGTTGCATTTATCTGAAGTGAAGCAGAGGAGCCAAAAAAAAAAAAAACAACAAAACGTAGAAGGCTGAGAACTGATATTTAGTGTGAGGCTTTTTACTTGGATTTTATCTTCCATTAGACAACAAGGCAAAGAAAAGATTAATGCTTGTTTTGTGTATGTTCGGAAGTCACACCATTTGTTGAGATAGTTGGGAAGAAATCRCACCAAATCTTCGTTTTGACAGAATTTAACCTTGGAAAATAATAAAATGATTATTTTTCAGGCTCTGATAYTCTGTTTTGCATGTGTGAATCTCTTTTGAAAAACCACAAAGCACAGATGAAAGCAAACACAGAAGAATCAGAACAAAAGACTATTTTAATGTGCT